CTCGGCAACCTCTCCTCTCCCATCCCGCACATGCGATACTGCCAGATCAGCTTCCTCGCGTCTCTTCCCGACGTAGGGATTGGACCCCCGATTCCGCCCTGACGGCTGCATTTCTTGTGCGCTTGGAGCATCCTAGGATAATTTTCGCTGTTTTCATCTGCGCCGCCTTGGGCTCTTTGACTCTCTTGTTACTTCTGTTGTAGTATTGCTCGTGGCCTAGGATCATATAATCTAAGTATTGGATTTTGGATGAGGCCTCCAGCTCTGAGGCCGGCGGTCCCACGAATGCACTGCCGCGCCGACTGCAGTCGGCGCGGCAATGAATCTGTAAATGATCCTGAGGCTTTGAGCCTCANCATGTGTGCATTCCACGAGCAGTCTTTCGCGATCTCTACTCCGAGGTATGTGTATTGGTCCAATACTGCAATCTCCTCGATCCCCCACTTCCATCTATGTTCTACTGGTTCCTCCTTGTTCTCGTTGCATACCATGACGGCACTCTTCTGAACGTTGGCAGACAATCTCCACTTATCAGTAAACTTCTTCGCCGCGTCAATTTGCAGTTGCAGTCCCTCAGGGGTGTCCGACATACCGACAAAATCATCCGCAAACAGCATTCCTGAAACCGACGTTTCCGTGTCCCCTACTTTTACTCCCTTCCGGACTGCCTCTACGACTTCCAACAGATCGTTGATGAACACCTGGAACAATGTTGGGGACAGCGTGCAACCTTGTGGGACCCCCTGCTCAATGTCGAAGAATTTAGACAGTTCTCCGTCTAGCATGACCGCGCTTTTCGTACACTCTGTCATCTTCTTCAGCACTCTCCACATTTTCCCCTTGATCCCGTATTTGGACAGTTGTTTCCACAACCCATTTCTCCACACGGTGTCGTATGCCTTGTTCACGTCCAGGACGAAGCAGTACGTCGGCTTTCCCGGGGGGGGCGATTGATGGAGTTGCTCGAACGAACGGTTTCAACATGTGAAATTCCGTCATTTGGACCGTACGCGGCGAGCTGTTTGTGGCGCATTCTGGTGGCGCAGCGACTTCTGCGGCGGGAGACTCTTGTCATGCTACAGACTCGACATAGGTTGTTCCATAGACGACAAGAACAGCACTACCAGCAGGTAACGGAGACATCATCAACAATCACAACAATTCAGGACAGCGACGGCGACACCCCATGAATAGCAACGGCATCGACATCATCAACAACGGCAGCAGCAGCAGCAGCAGCAGCAGCAACAACAACAACAACAACAAACACTCGCCTGACGTTCGCTTTCGTTGTCGAGGGCAGAAGTAGCCTCGTCCAGGAGGAGGATGGGAGGGTCGTTGATGATCGCGCGGGCGATCGCGATCCGCTGAAAGGCCCCAAACAAGATCGACAAAAAGACGTGCCATTAGATGTGCGCGAAAGCGATGAAGGGAAAAAGGTGATGAGGCAATGACACGCCAGCGGTGATGAGGGCGGGGCGGGGCGTACAGGTGCACATGTACGTGAAGATATGGCGGATTCATACCGTCCTTTTGAAGGGGTTGTGCACACTGCGCAAGGCACCCTGCGACACAATCCGATGGCTGCAGGGAAAAGACGAACATGCACCCAATACCGCCGTGTACATCTTGCGAGGTAAGCGTTGCAGGGTGGCGTAGTTCATCGCCCGGGAACACATGTGGTGAATTCCAACTTTTTCACCCACCGCCATGCCATCTCCTCGATGGTCTCGGAGATGATGAATACAATAGACCTTCCGTCTACCATGTAGGTGCGTACATGTTGCAAAATGCGAGCGTTGTACATACCTACAAGCTGGGGATACCAATGGACGCCTGATTGACTAACCGTCAAGGCATCGCTCTTTCTTGCCAAGGATACTAGTTACAGTGTGGGGAGTTAATCGACCTCTACGCGTCTATCGAGGTGTATAACGCTCGAACTTGCGTCGAACGACAGCTTCGCAAAAAAAAGGCCACCTGGTAACACCCGCAGTACAGAAGCACTCGCTCTCTTCCGCTATCTCACCTGCTTCTGGCCACCGGAGAGAAGGGCGCTCTTTTCGCCGACGTCCGTTTCATAGCCGTCCTGAACAGATTCAAGAAAGAAAAAAACATGGGGTTGGGGGGGGG